AATGATGATTGGCCCCACCCATCATGATTTTCACTCATCATGATATATATGTAGAAAAATTAAATCATTTTGACTTTTCTTATTATTATTTTAGCTATGTGCAAAAGAGACGACTATTAAGTTATCCGAAACATGAAAATATTAAACTAGTTTGATTAATATTCTAGAAGGTTCCAAACCATGTAAAAGTTTGACCATACACATTTGGTGATGTTTTGAACAAGATGTATGGTACGGATCACGAATTTGATGACCCGATTATTCCATCTCAACATAAGGTTTCATCGTGTGTGTAGTTTGAAATAGAAAAAAATAAATTAAATATATTTTTATAAATATAAAAACAATTTTAATATTGTTCAGTAAGGTAACTAAAGATAAAAATCTAAAAAGACCTATGGGCCAACCCGCGACCTATAGGTCGTGGGTTTGTTCCAGTCTGGCCCGTCAGGGCTGACAAGGTCTAGTCGTGGACCCAGGATCAAAGAGACAGGCTCTGTTCACTCTGACTCGCGTGGGCTCGTGTCAAACCTAACTCGGCCTTGAACCCAATGAGCCAGTTCACGGGCCTAAATTGGCCCGGCCCATGCCCATGCCTACCCTATGGGTAGATCACTTCTTATCAATAAAAATTCTTTTAAAATATTTTCCTTGTGGATTCGAAAATGATTCTTCACGGATTCCAAGAACACCAATCATTATCTAATCATGTTGAGGGCTTCCATATCTAGCTTTTCTCATGCTTGTTTTAACTTCTAAATTGGCATATTCAATTAGTCATATTCTTATTGATAAGAAAATAATTATTATTTACTGAATTTTCTAAAATGTCCACAGAAAAATCAAAAATTATAACTCACTAACATTTTTATTTGACTATTTCCATTCGTTTTTAGTTGTTCTAGTGCGTTCACACTGTCTTCGAACAACTACGTCGGATGCAGATTCTCCAGCAACGATTAATAATAATGTTGACATTGTGTTGCAGTTATTGGTTTAAAATACCAACGTACATACCTTAGCTATGCTCTGCTCTGTAAATAATGCTTTCACTTTACAATGCCCCCTATAAACATGTTACTCCTATATTTATTGCAGGAGGATGACAAAGCGAAACTTGTGGAGGAGACTGGTTTGCAGCTGAAACAAATCAACAACTGGTTTATAAACCAACGAAAACGCAACTGGCATAACAATTCACAATCAGCAACAACTTTGAAGTCCAAGCGCAAAAGGTATCTTTTTATTAAACTTCTTTTTTTTTTCTCTTAATTTGGGAAGGATATTTCAAGTACCTAACTAGAGATAATATTATTCTGTGGAAGTTCAGGTAAGAGATGCTACTGATTGCGGAACACTCAAATCAACACGGCCGCAGAGG